GTACCTGCGCCACCCCTTTGTGCAACCCCTCCCAAGTCCCTCCCTCTCCTCACTCCACAACCCTACTCTTCCACACTCTCCCTATCCTCGCCGCCGCATTCAAAGCTGGATCACTCAATAACCCAAACTCCTCGGCTTCTCTCTCTACATCTCCAATCCCCTTCCCATCCCTAAAACTCAACACTCCCACCGATTCCAATTCCTCAACAAATTTCAACAAAAACTCTCGACAGATTTTCTCCCCTTTTGCGATCTTCTTTCTCCCCGTCTTCCATTCGGTGGATATCGTTTCTTCGATTATCTCTCGCATATCTTGGATATCGGTTCCGATTTCAATGGCGGCGAGGAGAGAGGATGAGGTGAGGAATGTGTGGTTGTTGTCTTCTGCGTCGTGGTTCTTGCTGCGGTGGGGATCTTCCAGATCATATGAACCGTCATCTTTTCCTTGATTCTCCTCATTGTCTGTCTTGTTTCTCTTGTGTTTCCTATCCTTTTCCTTTTCCTTTAAACCCCTATCACTGTCCGACTGCCCATTTTCATCACTTTCCTCATCGCTGATATGTCCTGTATCTCCCGACTCTCGCTTTCGCTTCTTTTCATACTTCTTCCCAATTTCTTTCTCGTCCTCTTGTCCTTCTTTGTTTTCCCGTTCAGGACCAGCTATTTGCTGGTCACCATTTCCCCTGAAATCCTCACCTGGCGATTCAGAACCCTCGTTACTATCTTCATTCCCACCACCATCTCTATTTCCCTTATCCTCCTCCTTCTCCCCCTCCTCATCTCCCCCCAGCATTTCCAAAATCCACCTATCTGGCACCGGGTCAAAAACATGATACACCCATCCCCTCTCCGGTTTCTCCTCCGTCAAGTACAAACTCCAATGAAACGTCCCCGGATTATTTCTCGCCGCCAAATGAATATACAATTTATTTCTCTCCCATTCTATTTCTATCTCCCTTTCTTCGCGTTTCTTAAAATCCCCCAGGGCGTTGATACTTCCCATAGCTGGGTTAAATATTGTTGTTGGTCTCGTAGGATGGGGATCGATACCCCTATTTCAGAACTGAAATTTTATCCTATCACCCTCAACACTCGTCGGAACTGTAAGATATTACAAATTACAAACTAATCTTCATCACCCAAATCTCATCATCGAACTGCATGTCAAATACGAAGATGTCTCGTCTGGATGTACTCAAATGATTATATTGATAATTCGATTTGACCATGATCAATCTCAATTACTATCAAACTTTATATGCGTCCCACTTCCATGCAACTCCATCCCAAAGCGGTTTGCTACATACATGAACACGTGGACGCTGGATGGGTTTTCATAGTTTGAGTAATCGATCGTCTAATGCCAAGAAAGGAATTTTGGCATACATCTTCAATGTCCCCATACAATTTTGCTATGAACACCACTCACAACTCACAACAGACAATGTACCCAGGTACACATTTCAAAAATCAACAACAGGTAAGCATGCTCCCATACCTTCCAGAACGACTCAATTTCAATCCGACATTAGCTCCCAACACAATATCGCATCATAACAAGCATTGAAAATAATTAAATAATCATCAAATCGTTTCATTTGTTTAAGTTCATGTCTGGCCACGCGTAAATACAAATTGTACCTCATCCGGTCTTTCAATTTTGACCTCCGTGACAATCAATAACTATAAAATTATCCACCGAACCCCGAGACTCAAAAGCAATTTATTGCAACTTGGCCTTCAAGATATCCTTCAAGGTAACGGCATCAGCAGCAAACTTGCTGATACCCTCTCTCAACTTCTCAACAGCCATAGCATCCTCGTTGAATGCAAATCTGAACTCGGCCTCATCATCAATGTAGGTCAATTTCTCGATATCCAAACTGCTAGCGTTCTCAGCGACCAACTTCTTAGGGACGGCCTCTTCGGAGTTCATCAACTCCTCCAACAAGTTTGGTGAGATGGTAAGGTAATCACATCCAGCAAGCTCAGTGATTTCACCAACGTTACGGAAAGAAGCTCCCATAACAATGGTCTTGTATCCGTACTTCTTGTAGTAGTCGAAGATAGCCTTAACGGACTCAACACCTGGGTCTTCTTGGGCGGAGTAGGTCTTTCCGGTGGAGGCCTTGTACCAATCGAGGATACGGCCGACGAAGGGAGAGATGAGGAAAGCACCGGCTTCGGCACAAGCAACAGCTTGGGATTTGGAGAAGAGAAGAGTAAGGTTGCAGTTGATTCCGTGGTCGCGTTGGAGGATACGGGCGGCTTGGATACCTTCCCAGGTGGAAGCAATCTTAATTAAGATGCGGGACTTATCGATACCTTGCTCCTTGTAAAGCTAGATGAGACACATATGTTAGTATCAAACTCATTATGATTGAGGTACATTCGTCTCAAGGAGTGACATGAATAGGCATGTAACATACGTCGATAATTCTGAGGGCCTTGTTGATGGTGGCCTTGGTGTCGAAAGAGAAACGAGCATCAACCTCGGTTGAAACCTTTCCTGGGACGATCTTCAAGATTTCCTTACCAAACTCGACGAGGAGACGATCAAGAGTGGCATCAGTCTTCTTTTCGAGGTCACCGTCGACCCCTTTTCCGTATGCGACTGCGGTATCGATGAGCTTGGCGTATTCGGCCTTTTTGGAGGCAGCGAGGATCAACGATGGGTTGGTGGTGGCATCTTGTGGTTGGTATTTGGCAATGGCTGATGGTATCTGTTAGCAGTTGATTGTAGGATTGGCGAGGAAGAGATTGTTCAGATGATAACTTACAAGCAAAGTCACCTGGAGAGAAATAAGAGTCAGTAAAAGCTTCAAACAGTTGCAATGATGGATTGGAAACTTACCAGAGTCAGAGACAACAGTCTATGATGACAAAGTAATGGTTAGCAGACTATATTCCAAAGTATATCCTCAAATTCCATCTCCTTCACAAGAGTCTCCCTAGAGCTCCGGGCTGGACCCGAGTGTCCCGTCGACCAGCCATCAATAAATAAAGACAGATTGTTCACTTACGGTGCCAGAAGCTTTGAGTTGATCTAATGAAGAAGGCATGATTATAATATTTGATTGTTTTGGGGGTATCTTGGTTGAAAATTTGGTAAAAGGAAGTAGTATGAAAATGGTATGATGGATTTTCGAGTGAGAAAGAGGTTGAAAGGGTTTTTATGTTGTTGAGACAGAAGTTCGGTTTCTAACTTCACCCCTCCGGCGTCATATGGTGGGGTCAAATAAGTGGAGAATTCACTTTTTTTGGTAAATACGTAGGGGGTTACTAATCCTGAAGCATACACCTTGTGTGATGGATGGATGATTCGCGAGGAAGAAATGAAGTGAATTTGGAGTGAAGTTGGAGTTGAAGTTGGAGTGAAGGTTGAGAAATAAAATAAAACGGGGGAATGCTGTCGAATTGTAATATTTTATATCAAAGAAGAAATCGACGATTATTTATAAAAGTCCTTGGGAATTAACAATTAGCAGGTTCATACCTACAGAGTTATCACATTCAAGAATAGTTAATTGATTTGAATTATACTCGGGCCATCAACAACCAGCTTCTCTAACAACTGTTGGTTGCTTCTCTTGTCTTCTCTCTGTACTCCCTTCCCTAACTCCTTTGTCAACATCCCACTATTGTATTGATGGTCTCCTTTGAATCCCATTACCCGATGTCGCCACAATTCTATACCCAGTAATAATCCGGAGACCTAATTTTTCCATCAGAGCAACCAGTTCTTCCGAATCTTGGAGTGATGAAGCGGCGAGAGCGGGTCTAGAATACAGTCGAAAGTGTAAAGCAAGATTACGATTGTTTCCATCCGTGTTCGGTTGAAGACGATAATGTTGTCGCGTTCAATGTATATTGTCTCAAAACTAGAAAAAGTCCTAAAGTTTATTTTTCACCCCCCGTCTAATATCATTGCTTCATGTATGCGGTAATAGACGGATCGCTTTGAGGGAAATACGCATGGTGATACCAGAAAATAGTCTCTTGAAACAACGTCGTGGTCTTATCCATCCATAACGCCAAGATGAATGCCATAGCGAGAGTCTAAATCCGACCGAAAATGTACTGTACACAGACATTGGGATCATTTGATCAAGATATATTGAAATAAATACCATAATGTTTGTATTTGGGAAGGAGGATGCTGTGAATTCTTCCATCAAAATAGAATAATGTTTTCATGTTTTCATGTTTTCAACATTACTTTGATGCAGATATTCGATAGCAACACTGCCCACACTCAAGCCAGAACGCATTCTTCTCGAATTGGAAGTTTCCAATACAAGTAGACCAACGAGGATCATAATCAATGGTGCAATAAGACGAATGAGCATATCCAATATGATTAAACAGACACAAGAAGTGAGGGAAAAACACAGTCTCTCAAGTCAAAGACATTTCGAGAACCAGCGGCGAAATTAACAATGTTAAGGAAGAGAACATACGAATGACAAATCTATCCATGTCACCAGAAAAACCAGAATACACACTGCATCGACGATGGAAACGCGATTGGTGAAAGAGACATAGCGACATAAGAGCAATTCTATCGCGAATTTGACCATGATTTGGTAGATCATTACTTGGTGAGATTTCAACAAATTTTTTGATTTCAAGAAGCAATCATTGAAACATATGAATACTACAAGACCATGACATCACTTAATGGCATGAATCTAGAGAACTATCTCAACTATTTCTTGCTTTGGAGAGAGAAATCAGCGGCTGATGACAAGCAATTGAGAACCGCAATGTCAATTTTTAGAAGACATGAAGCTTAGAATATAATACATGTCGATTGAGGTCCTTAAAGGTTACTCCTACGAAAGTTGATGATCTTCAGCCTTGTCAGATAATTTGAATTTCATCATATCAACAAGGGTGATTGACTTGCCATGCATTAGCGTCACTTATCCTTACTTCTCATTCGTCAGCCTTATGTAACCTCAGAGATCCAAAATTTTAACCTCTCAGCCTTATCTTAAACTTCAGCATGTCAATATTCAATACATTTAAACAAAAGCACTCTCCTGAACCCAGCAACTGCCATGTTCCTCCGGTAAAATCCCATACCCCGCCATCAGAATGGCACAATTCATACCCCGTACCGCGTTCCCCCAACAACTCTCTCTCCCTCGATCGTACTACCTAGGCCATCATGCATCCGGTCTCTCGCGAATGAAAACTATGCTCTCATCCATCGACCTCATTATAGAATGTCGAGACTACAGAGTCCCTCTCACATCTCGAAATCCGTTATTTGAACAATCGCTCGCGGGAAGAGAAAGAGTCATCGTGTATACGAAACGGGATTTGGGGTATCAGGGTTTGGCTGTGGATAAAAAGGTACGAATTTTCCTGCATGTACCCAGACAGAAGATTTATGAAACTAATTACTGGGAATAACAGAGAGAAGCAATTATAAAAGATTGGCATAAACCCTCCTCCACTCTCTTCTCAAATCACAAATCCAAATCCGATATCCAAACTATTCTCTCGCTCTGCAAAGAACATGGTCTTGCGCATCAATCCCTAACCGGTTCTCGAATTCTTGTAGTGGGTATGCCTAATGTTGGGAAATCTTCTTTATTAAATGCTCTACGTATGGCTGGCGTAAATAGAGGCAAAGCAGCATTCACAGGTGCCCAACCCGGTATTACGAGAAAAATCGCATCAGGTGTCAAAATAGTCGATCCGGACCCGGAAGCAGGAACAGAGGGTGTCTATTTAGTAGATACTCCCGGTGTGTTTGTACCTTTCGTACCGGATACGGATAGTATGTTGAAACTGGCGTTGGTGGGAAGTGTCAAGGATACTATTATTGCGCCAACGACATTAGCGGATTATTTACTCTTTCATATAAATTTAAAAGTGGGAGGGAGCGTGTATAAAGAATACTGCGAGGAAACGAATGATATCGTACAGTTTCTAGAGGCGGTTTGTAGGAAAACGGGACGCTTAGGGAAGGGCGGGGTACCGGATGTAGAGGCTGCAGCACTTTGGGTGATTCAGAGGTGGAGACAGGGTAATCTGGGGAAATTCGTGCTAGATGAGGTGGAGGTTGATGGTCTGGAAAAGAAAGTTATGGAGGAGGTGAGGATGAGTGTCAGTCAAGCAAGGAAACAGGCGAAGGATACTCAAAGGATGAGAGCGAAGACCAGGAGGGCGGAGTCAATGGGTTGAGGTTGCGTGTGTAGGAACTTCCTTGGGCATATTGATTCTTTCCCACGCGGTTTCGGGCCCGCGTTGTACATGTCATCCGATATCATCGTGTGATTGTGCAGCTCTGTGTTGTCATCAATCAATATCAACTGAGGGGAAAACGGAAAACATGAAATTAGGCGAATATATCGAACCAGATGGATTACTGGCCACATTGACCTACTACCTACTGCTCTACCAATTTAAAGGCTCTGACGACCCGAAAGCCACTCACACTCATACCCTCGCAACTCTTTCCCCAAGTTCCATCAAACCGGACGGTCACTGCAAACCAACTTCAGTTCCCCTGTCACAGGCGCCACTGCCAACAAACCCCCTGGAACAAGGAGAATTAACGTTATCCTCGATATACAGTACATCGATCTCATCATCGAGACGCTATTAATGTCTCGGGGGCTCGCTTAGAGAATGTATACACATGGGTGAGGAGAGATGAGCATGAGGAAGAGCTTTAGTATGGCTATATAGTAGATGAAGGATAGGGAAGAAATGTATGAGAACTTATATGTACTATATACTCTATACTAGTTCGCATTTGTAGTTCTAATAGCTATGAATAAAAACAAAACTATCTCAGACATGGAAAATGATGTTATGATATGAGTGGTTGATTTTCTCGTTGATTACTTTGGGTCCAGCGGAAATTGGATAGGAAGAGAAAAAGGGAAACCATTTGTGGCGTAACTCAAGTATCTCTTCTCGATCGCTCCAAATTTTATACTGAGGCCGGAGATCCAAGATTAGATTTTCAATTTTTATGTTCCGAACGATTGGTTCGTAAGCTGGCTCGTAGAGAGATGTGAAGGTATCATGATCTATCATATTGGTAATTGAGCATATTTTATATATTTATTCGCCCCGTCGCTCAAATTTACAGATCACAGGTCATACACATATTGTAAATTCAACAAATCAGAGCGGGGTATTTCCAACCATCAACCACCCAACCCCTAAACCACAAAATTAATCGTCTTTCCCCTCCCTACAACGACCACCCTCTTACTCCTACCCGCCACATCGGCCTGTCCCTCCTCTTCTCCAAACCTCCTCATTCCCTCTTCACTCTGCAAAACCTTATCCACAACCCATCTCTGCAACTCCACTTTATCCATTCCCTCTTCCGGAATCGGTATATCGATTGCGAATCTCAATTTCCCATTAACTTGTACTGCACATTTTTGAGTTTCGGGAAGTAACCAATTTATCGATCCATCTGTCTCTGGGAACTTCGTTTCGAAGATTGAAAGTGTTTCAATACCGCCGTGAGAAATCGACCAACATTCTTCCGCGAAAGCTGGAGTAATAGGTGCCATCAATTGAAGCAAGATTCTCGTAGCTGAAATTTCGATTAAGCCACTATGCTCTTCTACAAAAATTGCGTTTTGAAGACCAGCGATAACGTTTGTATGTGATGTTTCGCGGCTGACTTTGTTTGCCTCTGTGATTTCGATGATAAGATTGGTAAGACTCATCAGATCCGAGACAATGGTATTAAGAGAATGCGTTTCACTATAAGCTTCTGTTATATTTGTGATACTTTGTTGTACTGCTCGCCAAAGTTTGATGTCCGCTTGAATTGAGTCCAAAACCGCAGCCCCTGCATTCGAATCTTGCTTCTCCAAATTATTCCTTTTGCTTTTCTCTAAAACATCTACCGTAGAAAGGAGATAATCTTTGGGAGATAACGTGTGGTATTTGATTTTCTGAGATTCCTCTGTACTTGTGCATATGTAATCATGGAGACGTTTCAACCAACGAGTGATACCAGATATTTTCTGCTCATCCCATTCAAGGACCTCGGTGACTGGTGCTTGAAAAAGCATGTGGGCTCTGGTTGCATCGGCACCATATTTCGTCATGCACTGTGCTGGGTCGACGCCATTATATTTAGATTTTGACATCTTCTCATAACTAATTTTGGCGATTTCTCCTGATGCAATAAGGATGGGCTTCGATGGTGTGGTGAGATCCACTTCCTCGGGTTTCAAAAATCTACCATTGGAAGGATCTAAATAAGTCTTTCCATGCACCATACCCTGGCTGAGAAGCTTCTTAAAGGGTTCCCCAAGAATGTTCTTGGCCGACCCTTCAGGCCAGAGAGGAGTTGTGGAAAGGAACTTCGATATGAAACGAGCATATAATAAATGCAAAATGGCGTGTTCAACTCCTCCGATATATACATCAACGGGGAGGATTGCATTGGCTGCTTCCGGAGAGAATGGTGTGGTTGAATTCTTGGGATCAGCAAATCTCATAAAATACCAGCTAGAATCGACAAAGGTATCCATCGTATCAGTATCTCTTCTAGCATCGCTGCCACACTTGGGACATGGGACATTGACCCAGTCGTGGGCACCATCAAGGGGATTTCCAGCTTTACCTTTCAACCAATGGCCTTCAACTGAAGGCAGCTTAACTGGAAGCTGATCTTTAGGGACAGGAACTGGACCACAACTAGCACAATGAATTATGGGAATAGGGGTACCCCAATATCTCTGTCGACTGACAAGCCAATCTCTGAGACGCCATGTCTCAGCAGCTGAACCGAGACCTTCATTTTGGAGTAGCCTCATTATGCCTTGCTTTGCTTTAGCCGTTGTTTGTCCAACGAACGATCGTGGGTTTTCTGATGTAAGATGACCAGGATGAACAAAAGGTTGGTCTGCAGGGACAGCTTTCGAAGCACCACCAATAGGACCAATTACATGTCTCGGTGGAGTGTCATGGTTATTGTGCTTCCAAAATGCATGATCCCGAGCATCATGCGCTGGCACTCCCATAACTGCTCCATCACCATAATCACCTAATACATATGGTGCAACATAAACGGGCAAAGGTGCTTTAGAGGCCTCTGGTGTAGATTTTCGGGATGCTAGCGGATGCACGGCACTAACAGTGGGAAGAAGATAGCCAACCTTTGAGTCAGGTGGTAAATCTGACAAACTGTCCAAAAACTGTTGCAATTTCGTATCTTTTTTTGCAAGACCTTGAACAATAGGATGTGTTGCTGCAAGAGCAATGTACTGAACTCCATAGATAGTATCCGGTCGGGTGGTGAAGACTTCGACAGACTGCTGAGAACTATCTTCACCTGCTGATATGGAAAATTGAATTCGAGCACCTTTTGATTTCCCCAGCCAATTCTTTTGCATGGCAAGAACTCTTTCCGGCCACATACTTCCCTTAGCCAAGTGGTCGATGTCTTGAAGCAATTGCTCTCGAAATTCAGATATTTTCAGAAACCATTGTTTTAGTAGTCTCTTCTCTACCTTGGCTCCCGATCGCCATGAATTACCATTTGCATCGACCTGTTCATTTGCAAGAACGGTTTTGTCCACAGGATCATAATTCACTAAAGATTCTGCTTGATATGCCAAACCACGCTCATGAAGAAGAAGAAATATTTCCTGAGTATGTTTGTAAAAATTGGGATCGCAAGTTGTAATTTCCTAGTTCATATTAGCTACCAAATCGATGATTACATTTGTAGACATGCCCTATCCCAATCCCAGCGTCCGTTCCAAGTGATTAGCTGACTCTTCATCTTTTGTATATTTTGTTTTGTCCAGACTGCGGGGTCTATCCCACGTTCAATCGCTGCATTTTCAGCAGGCAAGCCAAACGCATCCCAACCAATCGGGTGGACAACATTGTAGCCTCTCATTGTATGGAATCGTGCCAGGACATCGGAAATCGTGTATGCTCGAAAGTGACCCAGATGAAGATCACCCGATGGATATGGAAACATAGGCAATATGTACGTTTTCTGGCTATCATCTTGTTCATTATCCTTTGCCGATTTCGGCTTTTCCGTCGTCGTCCACTTCGCACGCCATTTCTGATCCAAAGATGGCAGATCTAAACTTGGAAAGGGGTTATTAGTAGAAGTAGAAGCGTATCGAGTAAACACGATAGGATTGATGTTTTGCAAAGCGGTAGCGGGGTAATTGCGACGACAATAAGATGAAGGTCGAATTAAACTCGTTCGAGATAATGCGCATCTGCGAAGGGAGGACTGCATGGTTTTTCAAGGCATCATGTCATGCCAGGGACCAACTACTCAAGATATAGTCGACCACTCTTGGTTTTGCATTCGCAGATGTCTATCTCGCGGGTTGACTTCTTTTTGAAGTGGATTGTTGTTGTATTTGTGAGGGGTAGCTATGAGTAACCCAGGTAGCTTGCTTCATGATATATTTTTATTACAGTAAATATAAAAAATTGAGCACGGACTCATTCTTATCTAATCTCAGCCTTCTCTGGACTCAGGACTCAGAACTCAGGAGTAAATGCTAGATATTATTAGTGAGTGAGTCGTGAATCTAGTGAAGTATCAAAGTATCAAAGCACCAAGAACCCAAAACAAAAGGAAAGCACAGGCAAGTAGAATACCGCCAAGATCCTCAAATCCCTTAATTAATGGATCACAAAGACAATAACGTAGATGATCTACTTTGGTACCTCAAAATAAAACATCCATTGTCTACGAGCATCTCTCTGTCTCATTGGAAACAACCGGTACACATTGCACTTGAGATTCTACGCGCTCTGTTCTTTGGAATCCTTCTTCAATTCAAGTAAATATTGATTGATATTTATAAAGCTTTATTTCATTCACTTCCTCTCCTTACTATCCTTCCGATACGAGTTCAGTGCGATTGTAAAGTTGCACGACCGTTATGATTCAAGCATTGCCATAAACGAGAACCAACAAACAGACTGCCGTTGATCGCCCCCTCTTGAAGCTTCAGAGCATGCGATGCTGGCTTTGAACGACTTTCACGAACAATTATAATGTCACCAACCTATCAAAGTTTAGAGCCTCACGCGCGCGATTCTTTAGAATTGGCTAGTTTAGCATCGAGTTCCCCAGGCGCGAGATCATCGACAGATTCACTATCATCAGATGCTGGTATATCCTCATCACGGAAGCTTTCACTCGAAGAAGATGACCCTTTAGATGACCGGAATCCCGCCGCGAATGGCCGGCCTGGAAGAGGACATGGCAGAACATACTCTGTCTCTTCGGCCTTCGACTTTTCTTCTAACCTTTACCCTCTGTCTTCTACCGCAGGAGGTTATGCGCCGATCGGAGCCCCTATTTCTACGACAAATGGCCAAACTGCCTTGGGAGGAGGATCGTTGGAAAAACATAAGACTTTGACATATCTGAACGGGTTGTCATTGATAGTTGGCTTGATAATAGGATCCGGGATTTTCTCCTCGCCGAGTCAGGTCAATGCAAATGCGGGATCACCAGGCGCATCATTAATTGTATGGGCAATAGCAGGAATATTAGCATGGACTGGCGCGTCAAGTTACGCGGAGCTGGGAGGAGCAATACCATTAAATGGCGGCGCACAAATATATCTTTCCAAGATTTTTGGGGAGATTTTTGGGTTCTTGTTCACATGGTGTGCGGTCATCGTTCTAAAGCCTGGATCGACCGCCATTGTATCGATAATAATGGGAGAGTATTTGGTACGGGCATTCATTGGAGCCGAGGCTGAGAGTGTCAACGTTTGGATTAATAAGAGCGTGGCATTGATTGGATTGTTTTTCAT